TATGTCCCCAGTGACTCCTCCCAGCCAGCTGCAGAGCAGGTTGTGGAAGCAGATTCCCAGGAGAAGAGGCTGGATCTTACTGTGGGATGCTGGATCACAGGGAGTGGTTGCTAACATGGGATGCGCAAAATTGGTTACAGATGGGATTTATTTGTATGATGATTTTATGGCACATCCCCTGTAATATAAAATGCTTAAAAGCTGTATGTCCAGCCTAAACTAGTACATTGAGAGAAATAACACTCTTGAGGGACCTGTGTGTCTCCATTTACTAAAGAAATTAATAAATTGATAGAAGACACAAAACTTGGTAGTGGCTAACAACAGGGGAGATAAATCCTGCTTTTAAAGACTGAAGACTTTTTTGCAAGAGAAAATAACGTACTACATCTCCCTAAACAGATATGCTTGAACAGTTTAGTGTTATCAAAAGATGTGTGTGCCAAGTATAATCAGATACTGTTGAAAATCCCCCTGCTCTCACCCTTGTTCCTCTGGCTAGCGTGTATAATTACTTGTGAGTTATCCAGACACCTTTTCTGGGTTCCAAGAAAATCAGTTAAAGGTTGAAAGATAAACTAGAAGGATGGAAGTGAGAATATAATTTCATGGCTGTTAGGCACTGGGCACGCAGGTGTGGGAAGGCAAAGTAGCATACCAAAATGCTCAAGCCTCATACTATGCTTACCCTCACTCACCCCCTTGCCCAGGTACATAAGAGGCTTTGCAACCAGCGTGGCACTTCTCTGGAGTTCTGCATTTACTAGGTGGGCAGTAAAGAGGGATCATCCTCACAGGGCCAAATGCCACTGTGCTCTCCTGAGCTCTGTTGCCTGACGCCAGCAACAGGCAGTGGCTGGCTGGTTTGTCAGCCAGCACAGCTTCAATACCTGTGTAAGCCAAGAGAAGTTTGCAGAGTATAGACTTACAGCTGGACTTACAGCTGAGTCTGGAGTTTATAACCTGGGCAGCTCTGCCCCTCCTCCAAACACACAAGGGAGCCTGACACTTTTGCAGATGTTTTAAAAGCTGTCCTATTATTTATTCATGCAGTTGGGTTAATTCAACCTGGCTGCAATAGAAACAATGCTTACAATACACAATTCTAACACAAGTTTTCATATTGAGCGAAAGCTGAACTAACACGGCAAGTGGCATCAATAATTGAAATTGCTTTGGGGAGGGAGAAGATGGGCTAGGAAGGCTCCAGGGCCAGGTCTGGAACGTGAAAGATGAGAGACAGCTCCCCCTGCAAACAGATTTCCTCATTTCAGGTGGTCAGTGCCTGTACAACAACTACTGCCTGCTCATGGCCACCCTGCCAGGGCATTTAAGCTTGCCAGGACCAGCAGTGCCTGTTCTTCTGGCCACTTGGACCCCAAGAATATCTGTCCAATTGGGCAAATTGTGCAGAAGCTACCATAAGAGTTATCCTGTCTGCTACATGCTCTTCAGGGCATAACCCATACCCTAACATTGGCTTGTTAAGTGCGGGTATATACAGGGACTGCGAGACAGCCCTTGCAGACTCCATTCTCCCAATCTGTGCCAGTGTTCCTGAGCTAATTTGATTGGAGTTGGATGGGGAATGAGAACCAGACTATGTCTAGAACTAGAATCATAGAATCATAGAATCGTCTAGGTTGGAAGAGACCCTTGGGATCATCGAGTCCAACCATCTACCCTACTCTACAAAGTCCTCCCCTACACCATGTCCCTTAGCACTGCATCTAAACGGCCCTTAAACACAGCCAGGGATGGTGACTCCACCCCCTCCCTGGGCAGCCTGTTCCAATCTTTCGGTGAAAAATTCTTTCCTAATGTTCAATCTAAACCTACCCTGTTGGAGCTTGAAACCATTCCCTGAACTATGAGAATTCTAGATCTTTGAGCTATGTCTTGCTCCCCCACAAACAGCTCAGAAGTTATGACTAGCCCTTGCACTGGAGATGCCAGAACACTGTACTACACTGCCAGTCCTCTTCTTCCTGCAGCATGGACAGAAAAAATATCCAGGATGATAATCCTGGGTCAGAATTACTCCTGTCAATGCCTAGTTTTCATGGATGTCACACTGCTGGGTGTGCAGTCATTGCCCAGCCAGCTCTCACAAGCAGTTGATGAAAATTTGCTTGCAAAAAACACCATCAATTGCTATCTCCCAGCTCTGAACCTTGCTTTCTACATCTGTAAATAGGATGGCAGGGTCACTCTTTCATCAAACATTTGGAGCGCTACATTGAGAGGTGCAGTGGAAACTGAGAGTAATGAGCATGACGGAGTAGGGCCACCTGCTTTAATGGCCCTCCTGTGACATGCAGAGACAAGACAGGCAACTACAACGGGGACTGTTCCCAGGAGCTGCTGACACAGAGTTTGTAGTCACATGAGGCAGAAGAACATGGTCATTTGCAGGGATGATGCCAAATTTAGGACTACAAGGAAGTGCCAGCCTATTGCTATTGCAGTATTTCCCTGTCTGTGCAGAGGCTAGGTTTGGACTTCAGCAGAGTATCCGTCAGGGGAAGCAGCCCACACATCGCTTGCTGGAGAAAAAGAGGCAATTACTTTTAATTGTAGCTCTCAGCATGAAGAGACTGCAGAGAACATGTGTCTTGTTGCTGGCCAAATCAATACCCATACAGTATATTAAAAAAAGGAACTATGAGAATTCTAGATCTTTGAGCTATGTCTTGCTCCCCCACAAACAGCTCAGAAGTTATGACTAGCCCTTGCACTGGAGATGCCAGAACACTGTACTACACTGCCAGTCCTCTTCTTCCTGCAGCATGGACAGAAAAAATATCCAGGATGATAATCCTGGGTCAGAATTACTCCTGTCAATGCCTAGTTTTCATGGATGTCACACTGCTGGGTGTGCAGTCATTGCCCAGCCAGCTCTCACAAGCAGTTGATGAAAATTTGCTTGCAAAAAACACCATCAATTGCTATCTCCCAGCTCTGAACCTTGCTTTCTACATCTGTAAATAGGATGGCAGGGTCACTCTTTCATCAAACATTTGGAGCGCTACATTGAGAGGTGCAGTGGAAACTGAGAGTAATGAGCATGACGGAGTAGGGCCACCTGCTTTAATGGCCCTCCTGTGACATGCAGAGACAAGACAGGCAACTACAACGGGGACTGTTCCCAGGAGCTGCTGACACAGAGTTTGTAGTCACATGAGGCAGAAGAACATGGTCATTTGCAGGGATGATGCCAAATTTAGGACTACAAGGAAGTGCCAGCCTATTGCTATTGCAGTATTTCCCTGTCTGTGCAGAGGCTAGGTTTGGACTTCAGCAGAGTATCCGTCAGGGGAAGCAGCCCACACATCGCTTGCTGGAGAAAAAGAGGCAATTACTTTTAATTGTAGCTCTCAGCATGAAGAGACTGCAGAGAACATGTGTCTTGTTGCTGGCCAAATCAATACCCATACAGTATATTAAAAAAAGAGCTGGACCAAAGGTCAGGTACCTGCAGCAATAAGCAGCAACTGCAGCAAGAACGAATTGTGAAATTTCGGCCCAGATTTGGCTCTTGAACTAGCATCCTCCAGTCTTTCCCTGGAGTAGAAGTGGTGTATGTATTTGATTTAGGGGTTCTATTTGATTTGGTTCAAGAGAAACCACTGCAAAATTAAAGCTAGGTAGAGAACATTTTGGAGAATGGGAGAATACAATAAAGGATTCAGTGCAAAGGGCTTTCTGCTTAGTGGAAAGGCTGCTCTAACTAAGAACCATGCTTCTTCCTAATAAAAGAAAGACCCAGCTGAGTGCTGGTCATCCCTTGAAAAAGGTCTCTGAACAAGCTTCTTGTCCCCTGACTGCATGTCACAGACCTCACATTCACACTCTGGTGCAAACTTGTCCTGCTTTCACTGTAGCAGTTCTCAGGGTGGGAGAGGTGATGCCCTCTGTTCCTGATGTCCCTTTTTTATTATACAGAGAGCTGTGCTTTCTCCTTTTCCCTCACCTGAAGTAAATCAGGACCAAGCCAAGCAGGAGACAAAGGCTCATCTCCGTTTCTCAAGCCTATTTTTGCAAGAAAGCCTGTCATCTTTTCTTCCCAACACCTCAGACCCCGATCCTGTGACGCCGGGAGCTAACAAGTTAGTAATGATTACTATATGGAAGGCAAAGCAGCAGGCAGGTGCTGAGGCAGTATAGGTCTCAGGTATTCACAGGATTTTGCAGCCCAAATTGAAAGAGGAGAGAGGTGTAGGTGGAGACATGCATGACTTGGGCAAGCAGGAGAAGGTCACAGTGAGAGAATTAAAGGGAACAATCCAGCAAAGGCAGCCACTGAACAGAAGCAGGGCAGAAACCTGAGATCTTGTTCAGAGAAGGGACAGCTCAGCCCCTTGGAGTTTTTGGAGTGGTGATGTTCCTCAGTGCTCTGTGACTGCAGTGGTAACGATAAACCATTAGTAGCATGCTTCCTCAGGCAGGCTTCTTTATTACCACAAACAGGACCAGCTCCCTTCTTACTGTCCCCGTAGTGCAGTTGGACAAACCGAAAAGGTCACCCATCTCAAAACTCAACAGAAACAAAACCAGGTGTGGAGCCAGCATTTGCTGCTCCCCTGCTGGTCTCACAGCAAGGAACAGATATTTTTCCTCCTCTGCCTCTCTTAAGTACTTCCCAGAAAGCCTCAAAGGTGCTTTATCTAGATGTGGTGAGACTCCAGTCACAGAGTTTCCCAGCCACAAGACTTCCCAGCATCACTAGTCCTACCCCACAACAATGCTGAGCTCCTCCTGGATGCTCACGGGCCCTCTGAGGAGAGACTGAAATGAAAGGGCTGCTGATATTAAAGGGGAAAAACATTGCTGGGAAATGCATTGAGAGGTGTCAGATAGAGAGTGGGAATGGTGAAGTTCCTGCAGAGTGGGGATGGAAGGGCATGGAGGATGGGTTGCTTGCTGGTTTAGCAAGGGGCAGAGTTGGCTGGCAACTCCTTTACAGTGCAGGAAGGAGAGGAAGAGGTTTCCACACTTACTCCAGGACGTCCCTGTTGAACTGCTTCTTGCTGTTGCCCAGGAACTCCCCAATCATCTGGCGGCTGAGGCCCTTCCGCTGGAGCAGGAAGTGTGCCACGCCAATGGGGGTGTCCGGGATGAAGCCTCGGGAGATCAGGAACTGGATCCCTTTGTCTGGGTTTCTGAAAGGGAAGGACAGAGACATGGTGAGTTTGCATGACCTCTTTGAGGCATTATAGCCTCTGGCTGACCTCATGGCTTGCAGTAATGCAGCCCTCATTATGTGCGTGGGCTCCTGCGAGTGGCAGGGATGAGACTGGTGGGGAGGCAGGGAAAAGTGACTTGGGGGAGTCCCCCCCAGTTTCCCCAGTTGCTGAGGACAAACAGATGCCATGGCACCTGCTGTATCACTTGTAGTACCTGCTGTCACCTGGTGATCACAAGTGCCACCCCACTGCTACAAAGGATCCCGCTGCACACCACCAGCCTCATCAGTGACCCTCTTCCACCATCCCTCTGCTCCAGAGTCAAAGGTTGTCGTACTCCCCAGCCCCAGCTCGCTTTGTTTAGCGTCCCTGTGAGGACACGATCAGGCTGTGTCCCCCACACAGACAGCAGAGGAAATATCAGCATGTTCAGCTGCTCCAAATGCAACCCACAGAGTGCTGTTCCCAAGGACCAGGGCTGAGAGCTGGGCATGTGACCTTTTGCTTTAGGGGAGCTGGGGTTGCACCTTCTGTAGGACACACAAAGGCAAAAATGTAGAGAGACTTAGGAGACATCGCTGAGATGGACTACAGGCAAACAAGGCTCAAGACACAAAGTGGGATAACCAAAGGTGGGAACCTTTTCTGGGGGAGAAAAAAAAAATCATTCTCTTTTTCATACATTGTTTAGTGGTCAGTGTTGAGTGACACTTTCTACCTTCCTCACCTGAGCCTGATGCTGGCTCCCTGAAGAGAAATTCCATGCTCAGATTTGCTTAGCTCTTCCTCCACTTCCCCCACCCTTAGCTGTGTTGTTCTTCCCTTCCCTATTGATTTGCCCCCTCAGGCAGAAATCTCTGTGTGTGGGTGGATGAGAGCATGCACCTGGAGAATGCCTTGTCAGAGACAAGAGAGAGCTTCCTGCAGCTCCCAGACAGAGGGTTTTTCTCCCTCGGTGGCTGTGACGCCGAGTGGGCCTGACTGTCTGGATGTGGGAGTCATTTTCTGCTTGTTGGAGTCATTTTCTGCTTGTTAGTGTGCCAGTGCCTGTGCCCGTATTCACAGCTCTTGGTGGGGGGGGTTAGTGTGTGTCTCAACAAGCAATGTCTGTGTGTGTCTATGTCCTGCACACGCAGATTTCTCCTGCACCATACGTGTTCATCACTGCCTGCACATTTTGGCTTTCTCCTCACATCTCCTAGGAGCACATGTGCTTCCATGTATCCTGGGAGTGGCTGTCCCACAGTACAGGCAGGAATGAGTGTGTAAGTGTGTATTGTACAGGAGGTTTTCTTCCTGTAGTTCAGCCTGCCCCACTGAAGGGTGTCTGTCATGATGCACTCTTGCTGAGGGGAACTAGTGCCATGCCAGGAAGACTTCCACACTCCTTTGGTTCTCTGAGCTGGTGAGTGGGGAGAGGTAAGAGGGTAGCTTCTTCATGAAAGGATGCTGTACTCCCACCATTAACCCAAATTCAGGGACTCATTCTTCAAGGAATGAGTTTGCTCAGGCAGTTTGGTGGGGTGAGGAAAGGATAGCATGAGATCTCAGAGCACGTGAATGCATGATACGCACAGGCACAGACTGTGACACTGTCAGGTGGTGAAGGATGTGGGTGAGCAACATATGTCTAGCTTTAGGGGGATCAGCATTCAGGAGAACGGTCTGCTCCTTACAGGCGCTTCGTGGGTATACGAAAAGTAGATGGGCTTGAAATAGTTCTGCTTACTCTGCAATGGAACCAAGATAATATCCTGGGCAGTGTGACATCCCCGGGGAGAGCAGCTGGGAGAACAAGTCAGCCCATTACATTTGTGAACAGGAGAGCTGCAAGATCTGACACTGGAAAACCCAGGCCTTCTTCGGGGAAAACAACACTGCATCTTCTGTATTATCACACAGATCTCCTGGTTCACCTTTGAAGAACACAGGCAAAGTTCTCTGCTGAGCGCAAAGGTCATATGGTTAGGGCAGAAGTCAAGTTAAGCAACAGAGATTCATAAAATGCACCTCCACCTGCACCCTTTGGTATTTGGCAAAGGACTGGATGGTGTTCACAGCACAAGGATGATCTCAGCTACAGTGGTGTGACTCCAAAGCCACTGGACTGAATTTGGATTCACTCCAGAGGATCTGAGAGCTGAATGCGGCCAGAAAAACGCAGCTCACACACTTGTGTGGATGTGCAGATTTCAGTAGGGATGGCGACGCAAGAGGATGTAGGATAACACAATCCAGCTGTGACAGCCCTCCTGTGCCGCCTAGACTATAACTCAAATATACATGCATACACTATTATTTCGCTAACAGGAGCCTTTCATCAGTTTTCCCTTGGATTGAATTTGCTCCACACAAAATCCTGATAGCAATATAGCATCTCTGCCACTGAACACCTGCAGATGTATCCCATGTACTGCAGCATGCGGCTTTTACCCAGACAACTCCAATTCCATCTCTCCTGAGCCCGGTACCTGATATTTTCTTTAGTGTTGCAGGGGTGTTAAGCACGGCCAGCAAATGCTGCGGGATTCCTCACGTCCTGCTGGCTTTCCCTCTGCCCACGCAGCCAGCTGCCCACACACACTGAGTTATTACAGCAGCACTGCATAATGAAGCACTCTCGGTTCCAGGGATTCCACCCCCTCACCGTGGAGTGGGGATGGGGAAAATGCCACAGCAGCGCGGCATCGATGTGCTCCCCGGGGGCCTGCTCTGAGCCAGAGCACTGCTTGCTGAAAAGGCAATGCAAGGCCAGACAGACTATGGCAGATGCTGCTAGAAACTGGAGACTTTCGGCTTTTGGTCCAGGGGAGCAGTCAGCAAAAAGGATGTGCCCACACGCATGCATGCCCTCAGCTTCACGTCGTGCAGGATGGTGCCCACATCACAAATCCTACAATAGTAAGCCGGTTTCTTGCTGGAATTTGACAGGGAAACTAACAACCCAATAAGATCAGAAAGCTGAATGGCCTTCCCAGCCATGGAGGTGTGCTATAGAGTCACAAGGGGAGCCATGTGTCCTTTACATCCTGCTCAGAGAATAAAACAAGGGCTTCCCTCCCCAAAGCTAACAGGTGATGGAACCATAGAATGGTTTGGGTTGGAAGGGACCTTAAAGATCATCTAGTTCCAACCCCCCTGCCATGGGCAGGGACACCTCCCATGAGACCATGTTGCTCAAAGCCCCATTCAAACTGATCTTAAACACCTCCAGGGATGAGGCATCCACAACTTCTCTGGGCAACCTGTTCCAGCGCATTACCACTGTCCGAATGGAGATTTTTTTCCTAATACCTAATAAAGATATACCCTCCCTCAGTTTGAACCCATTTCCCCTTGTCCTATCACTACATGCCCTTGTAAAAAGTCCCTCTCCAGCTTTCTTGTAGGCCCCCTTTAGGTACTGAACGGCCACAAGGTCTCTCTGGATCCTTTTATTCGCCAGGCTGAACAACCCCAACTCTCTCAGCCTGTCTCCATAGGAGAGGTGCTCCAGCCCTCTGATCATCATCATGGCCCTCTGGACCTGCTCCAATAAGTCCATGTCCTTCTTACGTTAGGGGCCCCAGAGCTGGATGCAGGACTCCATCTGGGGTCTCATGAGAGTGGTGTAAAGGGGCAGAATCACTTCCCTCAACCTGCTGGTAATGCTCCTTTTGATGCAGCCCAGGATACAGTTGGCTTTCCGGGCTGCAAGTGCACATTGCCTGTTCATGTTGAGCTTCTCATAACCAAGTCTCCCAAATCCTTCTCAGCGCTGCTCTCAATCCATTCTCTGTCCAACCTGTATTTGTGCTTGGGATTGACTCGACCCACATGCAGGACCTTGCACTTAGCTTTATTGAACTTCATGAGGTTCACAAGGGCCCACTTCTCAAGCTGTCAAGGTCTCTCTGGATGGCATCCCTTTCCTCCAGTGTGTCGATTGCACCACACAGCTTGATTTCATCAGGAAACTTGCTGAGGGTGCACTCTATCCCACTGTCCATGTCTCCAACAAAGATGTTTAACAGCACCAGTCCCGATACCAATCCCTGAGGAATGCCACTTGTCACTGATCCCTGCTTGGATATTGAGCCATTCACTGCAACTCTTTTAAGTGTGACCATCCAGTCAATTCCTTATCCACTGAGTGATTAATCTGCCAAATCCTTGTCTCTCCAATTTAGAGACAAGGATGTCGAACAGTGCGAAATGCTTTGCACAAGTCCAGGTAGATGACATCTGTTGCTCTTCCCTTATCTACAAATGCTGTAATGTGGTAGAAGGCCACCAAATTTGTCAGACATGATTTACCCTTAGTGAAGCTGTGTTGGCTGTTACAAGTCACCTCCTTTTTTCCCATGTGCCTTAGCATGGTTTCCAAGAGTATCTGCTCCATGATCTTCCCAGGCACACAAGTGAGACTGACAGGCCTGTAGTTTCCCAGGTCTTACTTTTTTCTATTTTAAAAAATGGGGGTTATGTTTCGTTTCCCCTCTTCCAGTCAGTTAGAACTTCACCGGACTGCCACACCTTCTCACATATGATGGATAATAGCTTAGCAACTTCATCCGCCAGTTCTCTCAGGACCCATGGGTGTTTCTCATCAGGTCCCATGGACTTGTGTGTACCTTCAGGTTCCTTAGATGGTTTTGAACCTGATCTTCTTCTACAGTGAGTGGTTCTTCATTCTCTCAGTCCCTATCTTTACATTCTGTGACTTGGGCAGTGTGGCTAGAGTACTTGCCAGTGAAAACCAAGGCAAAAAAGTCATTGAGTACCTCAGCCTTCTCCATATCCTGGGTAACCAGATCTCCCATTTCCTTCTGGAGAGGGCCCACATTTTCCCAAGTTTTCCTTTTATCACTGATGTACCTGTAGAAGCTTTTCTTATTACCCTTGATATCCCTAGCCAGATTATTTCACTCTGGGCTTTAACTTTCCTAACCCGATCCCTGGCTACTCAGACAATTTCTCTGTATTCCTCTCAGGCTACCTGTCCTTGCTTCCACCCTCTGTAGGTTTTCTTTCTGTGTTTGAGTTTGCCCAGGAGCTCCTTGTTCATCCCTGCAGGCCTCTTGGCATTTTTGCCCGACTTCCTCTTTGTTGAGATGCATCACTCCTGAGCTTGGAGGAGGTGATCCTTGAATATTAACCAGGTTTCTTTGGCCCCCCGTCCCTCCAGAGCTTTATCCCACAGGACCCTACCAAGCAGATCCCTCAAGAGGCCAAAGTCTGTTCTCTTGAAGTCCAGGGTAGTGAGCTTGCTGTGCATCCCCATCACTGCCTATGGATCTTGAACTCCACCATTTCATGTCACTGCAGCCAAGGCTGCCCTTGACATTCACATTCCCCACCAGCCCCTCCTTGTTGGTGAGAACAAGGTTCAGCATGACACCTCACCTCATTGGCTCCTCTATCACCTGCAGAAGGAAGTTATCATCAACGCATTCCAGGAATCTCCTGGATTGCTTATGCCCTGCTGTGTTGTCCCTCCAACAGATATCGGGGTGGTTGAAGGTCCCATGGGTCCCAGGGCTTGTGAACGTGAGGCTGCTCCTCCTGTCTGTCTATAGAGGGCCTTATCTGCTCAATCTTCCTGGTTGGGTGGCCTGTAGCAGACCCTCACTGTAACATCACCTGCTTCTCCCCTCCCTTTAATCCTAACCCAGAAGCTCTTGGTCTGCTCCTCATCCCTCGCCAGGCAGAGCTCCACGTACTCCAGCTGGTCATTGACACAGAGGGTGACACCCCCTCCTCATCTCCCCTGCCTGTCCTTCCATTCTAACACTCACTGGAACACAAGGCAGTAGGGGAGGTCTGGCTAGGAAGTTGTGTTTTGGAGCTCCACATTAAGTCTTCTATTCCACAGGGACCTGCCAGATGCAGTTAACCCAGGTCACTGAATGGAGGATGGCAGAGCTGCTTCCCCAAAACAGACTTGGTGCTGCTAATATGTCATATGAATGTGTGCTAGGCAGACTGGGGGGTGGAGGAGAGGGCGAGAAAAAGCATTTTCACTCCTGCTTTATCTTCACATCCGTGCTCATGTCAACTGTGCAGGAACCAAAGGAAAACACATTGAGTAGAGGGACTCCTGCCAAGCACGGCTGAGAATACTGAAACACTTAGTAGCAGAGACACGAGCCCTACATCCCCCTCCAGAAGTACATCTATCCCAACACTAACATCAGAACATATATGTGGACCTGGAACTATCTCTATCATAATCAACCCCACCTGCCTGTGGTGCCTCCCTTCTCTCATTCCAGCCTGCTTGTGTTCATCAGGCAAATCTGTGTGTGCCCGGAGCCTGACTTTGATATATACACATGCACCCACCTGTTCACAGCCTGATCTTGGAGGCAGTAAAATGTCCTCCTCAGTTCCGTAAGAGTCCCAAATCTGTCTGCTCTAACATCATTTCGGTTCTAGATGTGCTCTGAGCCCAGCCCTAAAAATCTCTATTCCATGTTCCTGCCTCATAGAGGCCACAGCCTACATGCTGCAAATATATAAGTCCTGTGCACTTCCCCTTTGTCTGTGCAAAACTTCTGCCTAGGACAATCTTTAGACCTCACTCTCATCAATGCGTGGCAAAACATTCTTCTAGTATGGGTGCATTGCATTCCCAGCATCTTTGTCAGGGGACTCAAATGGAAACCAAGACAGCATAAGATGAGAGCGTGATGACAGAGCAAAACCCAGTATTTCTCATGGCTTACTTTGATGAGAAAAGTCTCACTGAAAGGCAACGAGCAAATCTAAAGCTCCTTATAGCAGCTCAGCTGCTTTCTGCCAATCCAGAATAGATTATGTGTGACCCCTTCAGTTAACCTCTTCTGACGGTAATCTCTGGGCTGCTCTGCTTTTGCTTTCACACCTACAGCCTTTTCATAGGATATCAGACTCAGATGTATGAGAGACTGGTCTGTCAGGTGAAAATCTATCTGAACACCAGAAGGAAAATGACAGCCAGAGCACTCATACTGGCCTAGCCAAGCTCAGCTCTACCTTCTCTTTACTTGGGAATGCCCCATGTTAAGTAACCAGGGCTGGGTTTACATCCCCAGCTACGCTTGTTCCTTTGCAACAGAGTGGAGCAGGAACCCAGATCCCAGGTTCAACTGGTGGATGCCAAATGGACAACAACTGAGAATGAAGGTTCAGAATTCAGGAGAGCATGGGCACTACTACTGGGGCACTGGGCTTGTTCCTCTGTTGGGCAGAAGATCAGGACAGCACTTGGATGACTTTAAGGAAAAAGCTTCTGGACAGCCAATCTGTGGTCTGCATTGCATGCCCAGATGGTCATGCCCTTGAATATGAAAAGAACTTCCCCAGAGATGGATCTAGACCAAGAGCCTGACATCACCTGTTCCTGTGAGGCACGAAATAGGCTGGGAAACAGGAAAGAGGAAGAGTCACTTACATATTAAAGAGGTTCAGCCCAATGCGGTAGAGACGCTTCCTCATGGTGTCTGTGGAAAGTGTGGGGGACTTGCAGCTGGCTGGATTCTCGCAGTGGTACCTTGGGAGGCTGAGGATCATGGCCTGCAGTGCTTCTTTTGAGGACACCTCAGAGGCTGACTTGGCTGAAGTGGAAGTGCTGCTGCTGCTCAGCTGCTCTGAATTGTCTGCATTCTCAGACTCGGAGCCTTTGCTTTGCCCCATCTCGTTGCTAGCATCCAACTGGAGCTTCTGCACTGTCATCTGCCCAGGCTCAGCACTGCTGTCTCCTGTGCCATTAGTACTGACATTCACCTCAGTGAGAGTGTGGCTGTTCTGGAGAGCTCCAGACTCAGGTGAGCTCTCTGGGGCAGCCGGTGGTTCACTGGCTTCTGCCTCCCCTTCTCCTGGGCTTTCTTCAGCCTTGGCAGCTTGAGAGAGCCCAGCCTGACCATTGCTGCTGAGGCAGTTTGCCATGGACACCGAGGTAGACGATGAGACAGAGATGTTCTTGTTGTCAATCTGGACTGTGACATCTCGAAAAGCCATCATAAGAGTGCTGCTGCTCTTGGGTAGGGTATCTGGCAGGAGCCCTTCCTCCTTCTCCTTCTCCTGCAGCTCAGCTTCTAAGTCTTGGTTTGGCTGCATTGAGCTGGCACTGAAGGTCTCCCTTATCTGGTATGAGCCCCCATCTTGCAGTGAGCACATGGTCTTCAGGCTCCAGGTGCTGAGGGCATCATCAATAGACTTGGCCAGTGACTGAACTTGTTCCGTGAAGGAGTCCTCCAGCTCGGTCAGTGCTCCACTGATGGTAGCTGGCAAAGACGGGGACCTCACCAATGGGATGCCCACAAAGTTGTACCCCTCCACCAGGGCTTTCTCAGCGGAGAAGCTCTCCGAGTTCTGGACCCGGACTTTTCTCAGTGAGATGCGACGTGGCATGCGGCTCTCCAGCAGTGAGTTGCGGATCTTCTCAAAGTTCTTGCTGAGCTGGTACTGCCGGAAAGCAGTCTGGATGGTGCAGGCTGCCCTGCGAGATACCAGGTGACCTCCGTATTTGTGCTCTAACATTTCGATCTGAAAGACATACAAACACAAGAGGTTATTTTTTGCTAATTGACTTCTGATGGCTTTCTGTTACACGAGTTCCTACACTGATTAGCCTGTAATGACTGTCAGAAGAACTTCTAACACTGAATTAGCTTTTTCCTGCACTGCCAGTGCCCTTGACTTCAACAGAAGGCCCCCCTTAGGGCATGGCTGGCTAAAGCAGCGGTACTGTGAGCTTCCTCACAGCTGTAACATGACCGTGCCTCTTCCTAGAGTGTCAGCCATAAAAGCTGGAGCCTGGAGGTGCCCTTCCCTTGCAGACCCACTTCTGATGGCCTTTAGGGCACACTCATCACTGCAAATACAGTGTTTTAGCAATGTGTCTTCCTGGCCAGCAGTGCTCTGGTAATGTCAAGCATCATCCCTTTTCTCAGAGTGTTACTAATGCTCCTCCCCTCCTTAGTCACCTTAAGAAATCCTCCCAGGGAAAGGAGAAACCATTCAGAAAAAGGAAAGAAAAGTTAATTTTTAAAGGTAGAAAATGCTGACTTGATCATGGGTGCTAGTGAGAAACATCAGCTTCCACAGAAGCTAGTGAAGGCTAGGTTTGTTCAGTTCTTTTAAAAAACAATCTGAATCCCAAAGTGTCTTCCTTTCTGATACCTGAGTTTTTCAGGTGTCAGCCAGCAGTGAATTGGAAACTACCCAAGAGAAGAAAAACTCTCAGTTTTGAAAGGTAAAAAATCCTGATTTAAAATGTTGAGTCAAGATATTAAGAACAAGTAGAAGGAGGATTTACTCCTTCCTGAGCTGGTAACAACAAATACACATGTAAATACATATGCATACAGCTAAGTGGCATCTCAACAGCCTTCAACAAAGCAAGTGTGTATGGTGGTTTCTCTTCCATAGTCTAGCATTTATACTTCCCTCACTCTTCCTCTGCAGCTGGATCTTCACTAACAGGCTATGGGAGAATGACAGATAACTTGGTTCCATTGAGCGACCGACAGAGGACAAGTGGGACAGTGTGAAGACGATGGTGGATGATGGGATTGAAGAAAAAAGGACGAACTCAAATTGCCTTCACTGAGGTTTTGCCTGAACTATGAGCTAAACTCTACATTGCCAGCACTTCACACTGCAGAGTGCAGGTGCAGACTGTAGTGTTTATATTCGTGTGTGCACATGTGGAAAAGCCAAAAATAAAGGTGAAGTGCAGGACTGGGAGTGCTGATAAAATCATTCCTGAATTAACAGCAGTACATCATTAATGTGGTGAGTATGAGCTCATTAGCAGATCCAAAGGATGAGTTTCACTGACTGCATCCTTATCCCTGGACAGATACCACTTTCCCCTCACCATACCTTTCTGGCCCAGGATGAAGGACTGCACAAAAGATCTGAGTTTAAGTGCAAACTGTTTTTGTAGTCAAAGCGAGACTGAGGCATGAGCCTCAGCTTGCAGTCATGTCATGCCATCTGCTTCTGTCTTTTCCTTTTTTTTGTAACACTATGTAAGTTGCAGATAAAACCACCAGTGAGTGATCTAGCTACAAGTGAAGCCCTGAAATGATAGCTGTGAGAAGTGTAAATCACCTCTGGTGTCTTTCCAATACTAACTCCTCTGGAAGTAGGTGAAGATGATATGACCTTGGGAGATGACAGGAAGAAAGGAACAACATGACCCCAGCCATTCTCTACCCAGCACTGGAATCCTGGCTGCTGGAGTAAGTACTGAAGGATTTGCCCATTCATCATTTGCCCCCATCACCCCAGGCAGCAACAGGTTTAGGGATCCTGCTGCACACTGGATGAGAGGCTGCTATTTCTGGAAGGGAGCAGGAGAGGGCACATCCTTTCATATGAGCCAGCAGTGCATGCTGGCAGCCCAGAAAGCCAACCGCATCCTGGGCTGCATCAAGAGAAATGTGGCCAGCAGGTCACGGGTGATTCTACCCCTCTACACTGCTCTCCTAAGACTCCACCTGGAGTACTGCATCCAGCTCTGGAGTCCTCAACACAGGAAGGACATGGACCAGTTGGAATGGGTTCAGTGGAGGGCCACTAAAATGATCAGAGTGCTGGGGCACCTCTCCTATGAAGACAGGCTGAGAGAGTTGGAGTTGTTCAGCCTGGAGAATAAAAGGATCCAGAGAGACCTTGTGGCATTTCAGTACCTCAAGGGGGCTTCCAAGAAAGCTGGAGAGGGACTTTTTACAAGGGCATGTAGTGATAGGACAAGGGGTAATGGTTTCAAACTGAGACAGGGTATATCTTGATTAGGTATTAGGAAAAAATTCTTCACTAGGACAGTGGTAATGCACTGGAACAGGTTGCCCAGAGAAGTTGTGGATGCCCCATCCCTGGAGGTGTTCAAGGTCAGGTTGGATGGGGCTTTGAGCAACCTGGTCTACTGGAAGACGTCCCTACTCATTGCAGGGGTGTTGGAACTAGATGATCTTTAAGGTCCTTTCCAACTCTAACCGTTCTATGATTCCATGATTCCATATTTCCCTTGCTGGAAATGAAGCAGCGACTCTTTGCCTTATGCTCAAAAACAGGGTAGGCTTCAGTTTTCTGTCTGCCTTGTCCTGTCCTTGAATTCCATCTGTCCAAAGCAAGCATCAAAGACCAGCATGGAGAATAATAGCAATTTGTTTAGCAATGGAATTGGTCACTGCCGTTACAGAGGCAGCTGTCTCAGGGTTCTGCCTACCCCTAATTTAAAAAACATTGGCCTAATACTTGCCCTGCTGCCCTCCCAGAAAGGGTCTGTAGAACTGGTGCTAAAAATCACCCACACAATGACCAGGGATCCAGGTTCATTTACCACAAGACCTCTCAGTAGGCATTTTGGATAAACAAGGTCCCTGCTTATCTCCAGAATTTGATGTGGCAGGAAAGAGGGATACAAGGACAAGAAGAGATTCTGGGTAGCAAGCAGAAGGGTTTTGCTGGGTTTCTTTGTCCTTCTTTCCAAAATGACCATCTTAAATCCCACCATAAAACCAGCACTCCTGCCACATCTCTGCAAAGTTGGACTCACTGGAAATAGACTGAGTTATGCCCTGGCCCTTCCCTTCAGGAGGAAGGCTCAGGCAGATAAATGCAAATTAAACCAATAACCTGCACAGGCCCAACACAGACAGTTATTACTGACAACTGACCATGAGCACTTAATATAACAGTCTGGTTAATCACAATGGAGAGCTAATTGTGCTGGGAGGAAAAGAGGAACAAATGGGAGGGACAGACACAGCTATCTGAGGGACAGAATAATAGTAAGATGCAAAATAAGGCAGAAGCAAGAGCCTTATAATTATCTGAGGTTTCCAAGGAGGTAACAGCCATTCTGAAAACATGAAATTCATATGCTCTGATCTTATTAGAGGCCAAGACAAGATGTCATTGCTGATCTGAAGTAAAAGGCCAGTTTATCTCATGCAAGGACAGTTCCCAAAAAGGCAGACTTTAATAACTACTAAGAGGAGAGATCCTTCTAAAAGTCTAAAAGAACAGTGCAGGCTGTCAGTACCTTCATAAAACATCACCAGCTTTTCTCAGCCCATTATCTCAGACCTCCCAAAAGGCTAAGGCACTAAGAAGTAGAAGAAGATGTAAAGTGAGAGGACTCCCAACGTAGACTGTTCTCCAGTTCATACCAGGTGTGCAAGGGCGAGTTCTGCCACCCGTCCCTGTCCAATGCCAGGGGAGTCCTACAGTGTCCTGGGGCTGGGATAACAAGGACCAGGGACTGGTGCAAACAATGCTTGAGAAGACTGGTGAAGTCAGAAGCAGCACCCCCATGGAGAAGTGTCCTTCCCACCCTTGCTTGGTAGGAGTCGGTCTCAGACTCTCTCTCCTTGATGCACCCCAGCCATGTACTGTTTACTGATGTCTGAGACATTCACATTTGCTATCAGGTCAAGCTAACTGACACTCCAGAGGAATTAAGGATTTCACACAGCTGTTGGCCTGTTTTCTTCCTCTCAAGAGGAGGAAAGGGCATCCATTAGCACCACAGCAGTCACAGGTAATGGAGATGTATGTCTGGCTTGCTGGAGGAACCTTCTCTTCCCATCTGAGAGGCGAGAAAGGCCAGACATGATTGGCCTTCTCTCACTCCTAATAAACCCTATGAATCACAAGTAATTGCCTACTTAAAGCTACTCTTCTCTGGGGAATGATCTGACAGCCGGCGCCAAAGGAAGGGAAAAGCGGGAGGGGGGTCGGGGGGATTTCAAAGAATAATTAGCTTAATACATCTCTGGACCTCAATATGAACACTCAGTCTGAGCAATTCAGGCCTTGTGGCTGAATTAGAAATGGCTGGGAAATATCCATTGCCATGAGGGATTGCACATGAAGGCAGCTTTAACAAGGTCAGCCTAAGGCAAACCATGTTGGCCTGAAAATGGCCAACATTTGAGGTGCACACCCATGGCTTTGCTGCCTATAGGCATAAATTCCTAAATACACCAGGAAAGAATGGGCCTGATCTTATTCTCAGCACCAGTTTCCACCCAGGTTGCCACTGAGCATGGTGACATAGCACCACGTTAGCAAGAAGAGAATCAGGCTCAGTGACAGAATCGGAGTCACTCCAGTCAATGTATGTGTTCTAAAAAAATAAAATAAAAAAAAGACACACAGAACATACACGTTCCCTATCACTCATTCTTAATGCCTCTCCCTTCCACCAACCTTTCACAATGGAAGGATATTGCATTAAGGGCCATGTGTTTATGGGACTTTTCCTTCATACATGGGACATCTGCCACCCTTAGCACAGCAGAAGAATATGTATGACTGAAAGCATGTTCCTCTCTTCTGTGATCCCCTCCATTTTCCCAATATACAGTACAGCCTAAGCATTGGGGAACTTTAGCACTTGAGTTTCCTTTCCAGCCTTCCAGCTTAGTGTACTTCTGCTTTGTACACTGTCAGCATGCTCTGTTTCATGGGATAGAGAGCAAGGAGAGCCATGACAGCACTCACCAACCCTCTAGTATGATGCTGAGAGGTAGATGACCTGCAACTCTAAGACCTGCAGAGGAGGCTGCATGCTACCCTCCTTCCTTACTCAGTCTTCTCCTGAAAGCTAAATGTGACTTCAACTGCACTGTGAGGCTAAAGATGTCCTCTTCCACTTGTGTTTCTTACTGCAAGTTCTATTAATGTATTACAATTTGTGCTATGACTAGGGAACTACTGAAATAGTGCTGTGAGGGTCCTATCATCTTTATTCCCATTCAAAAAAAGTACCTGACAAGTAAGTTGATAGGATTATCTATGAAAACACGTTAGAGTGCAAGACTGGAAGAACTAATACTCTCCACTCACTGAAAATCACCCTTCCAGAGCTGGAGCCAATCCACTGACGGCATCCATCAGGCTGGGAGCACACATACCATCAAGCCCCTTTTTCTGTGAGAAAAGTGGTTTCCCCTTTGAGATAGTCTAGGTCCCCGCAAGGTCAGTACTGCGAGGCACCAGAATTTAATGAACGAGTAGCTAACATGTCTCTCTGTCTCACATGCAGGCAGGGCAGGTCTGGCCTCTGCTGCAAGAACAGTGATAGGACAACATGACCTTAAAGCCAAAATAACACAGGACAGACACTCCCCAGGACAGATCAGAGCAGCTCTAGGGCATTGCGGAGGCTAAGCCCATATATAGCAGCCAAGATCTGGCCCACCCTGAGGATATGTCACATTAGTTTGTGAAGCCAGTTAATTAGCCTCTCTTGTTTCTTTTCCTGGTGTGAAGCAGGAATTCTGTCTGAGTTGAGTATGCAGTATTTTGAGAAAGACAGAGCTAAAGAACCAAGGTCTCTTTTCTGCTCAGGAATTTATTGGGCCATTGATCTGATATTTATGTTTAAGGACATCAGCTATGCCTTGAGGGAAATGGCAGAGAGATGTCCCAGGAGCAGCAGCTTCTTCTATATAAACCTCATTAGCTGAGACCCTTCATCTGCAATAGTACAGCTCCCACTGAACGTAATCTGGGTACTGTCACTAGCGCTTGCCTGTCCTCCTCATCTCACATACTGCAGGGTCTGGATATCAAACAGCCTCTGGATGAGTTGCCATCCCTGGGAAAAGTCAGAAATGACTCTTTAGGGTTTGTTTGGCACAACAGCTCTCCTGGGCTGTAATCTGCAGAGATGCTGTGGGGAGGGGAAGTGGAAGAGGGGGCACGTTTCACCTCATTGCTTTTGAGTAAGGAGGCCAGCTGCTATTAGCCCTGGTCCCACTATCCCCTGCTGTGATCCCATCAGATGTAGCTAGAGATGGGTAGATTTGTGCTCTGGAGCTAGGCTGTAGCCTCAGGCACAGGAGGCAAGGCTCGCAACTTCAAGAACTGAATCATTTTCTCTCAGCCTGTTAAACCTGCCTGTCTTTTCAGCATCCATCGCTAGATTGAAGGCAGGGTTGGTAGCAATACAAAAACATCGTGGTAGACACTGTGCACGACACTCATTGAATAAACCCCACTTCTCCTGAAAGCCCATACTTTGAAGATGCGAACATGGTAGCACACTGGGGACTTGGCCAGTGTGATCCAAGAGGACAAGATGGCTCTTGGAGACCATCCCATGACGGAGGTCTGTTGTGACAGTCAGTTGCTGGGAGCCCTATAAGCACTGTAGGATTGTGAGCAAGGCAGTATCTCTGGATGCCATAGCTCTTGGCTGCCCGCAACCTGTTCCTAAGCCTACAGTCACAACTGGGTATCTGGGTCCGTTTTGGACCACAGAACCCAGGCAACGAGGAGCAGAGCCCAGCAGTTTTGGGTGAAAGGGTGTCACAGTCATAGGTGGGGGAAGCTACTTCCTCCATCAGCCCCATGTAGCCAAAGGGCCAGGCAGGTCAAAAGCTCAAGGTGAACAAAAGGCTAAAATATTTGCTGAAAAGCCATCCCACCACAGTGCGAATGCAGTCCCACCCACCCCGTCCCCTTCTCCCACAGCCTGAGGAGGAAGTCTCTGTACCTGTTTATTCTTTAGGTCAAGGGAGAGCTCATAATCGGAGGCAGCTGCATGGGAACACGAGGCCGTCCCTTTGCTGCGCTGCACTCTCACTGGGGAGCCCGTGTGGTGGAGGCTCGCCTTCTGCACCAGAGGGGAACACCCCGCTGCCTGCTCTTCTTGGAGCTCCTCATGCTGGGCTTTTAGCGTCAGGGTGTCGGACCTGCCTTCCTGGCCACTCTGTCTGCCGGCCTCCTTCGGATCCTCCGTTTCACACCCGGCTTTCTTGCTTGTGGAACCGCTGGGATCGTCACTGTGAACAAAATGCAATGTTTTGCTTTTTTTATTTGATTTTTTTTTTTAATATATATTTTATTTATGATTATGTTTCTTGTTGCTTGCTATACTCATTCACTGAGCTGCATTTTAAACGTTTAGAGAGCCTGGGCTGGGGGGAAGGTCTCTCTCAGTGATGGATCAGGACTTTAGGCTGGTGCAGCCAAAGCTGATACCTCCTTCCCTGAGAGCAGGAACCTGTATAAACCAGTCCCGTGACTCCTGGGGCTGCCTGAAGGTGCTGTAGTTGGAGGTGAGGAGCCAAGGAGGGTGTCGTGGCCAACAGACAACTCTCCTGCTCCTTGGAGTAGCTAGCAGCTGGCAGTCACCCCTGTGCCCCCGCTGCCTATTGCTCAGCATCCCCCTGTGCATCCCAGAGTCCCACCAGGAATGGAGCCTGGACCCCAGGGTTCAGTTTTCCCCTGCCTAAGGGCATGTGGGAAATGGTGCAGGGGCAGCTGAACGTTGCAGAGTTTCCAGAGAAACTCTTGGAGACCTGAGAGTATAAAGATGCAACAGAGCCAGCCAGCCCTGAGACCCTGAATCTTTAAAGCATGTCTGTGATACGGCTGTAGCAGACTGCAAAACTCCCATGAAAGAAGCTGTTTCTTTCTGACCCACAGATTGTTGTGCCACTGAGAACCTGCGGAGAAAGAAAAACATCCCTTTCTCCTGCCAGCCACAGCACGAATTGTGTGAAACCAGGGCCCGGCAGCAGTGAACTCTAAGAGAGCTGGAGACCTGGCATGGGGCTCTAGACAGGATGGGATTAGCGCATGTCTGGTGCGTTGAAGTGCTGAGGAAGCCTGTCATTAAACCTCTCTTGCTGAATATTTTCAAGAATCATCCAATTTCAAAAAAGGTTTTGGTATTCTGGGTTACCGTTTGAACCATGAGAGTGTTTGTTTGTTGTTACATTAGTCTCCTTCCAGTGGCTACAAAGGAATAATTTATGATTTCCAAGAGCGTGCAGGCCAGTCCAGATGGACTTTGGGTTCTACTGTACCATGTATATCAGATACAGCTCCACTGATTTCCAGGGGATGAGTATTTAGCTGAGAGCAACATCTAGTTTGAAAATAGTTACCACAGAATCAATGCGTTTAATTCCATTGAAACCAAGGATGCGTATCGCCTCCCATATTTAAATACTATTAAATTATTTAATTCACTTCTGAATCATATTTCTTTCTCTTGGATTTGCTCCACATAGGACCAGTTCTGCTGTCATCTAGATAACAAATCATTTTATGATTGGTGTTGATGTCAGAGCAAAATCAGGGAAATTAGATATGATTTTCTGTAGTGCCCAAATTACTCAGAGGCATTTAAGTCTCATTTTCAAAAGTGCTGTAAGCACTTAAGAGCCCAAGTCTTCTAACTGTAAATAGACTTTGCCTCCTAAGCCTCGGAGCACTTTTGCATACTTAGTAGTACTTTAAAATGAAGTTTATTCTCTCTAATGGCAGCTCTTCTGTTCAGGAGATTTAACAATCAAATTTAGAAATATTCCCATAGTTTCTAAAAAATCTGATGAGCCAAAGACAGTACCACAACTTCAGAATTAAGAAAAACAAAGGATTTAAAGGTAGAAAGTGTCCCCTTTTATACACATGCATGCAGTCACCAGTTGGACTGAAAAAATAAATTCACAGAAGAAACTAGTCTCTTACATACATGCTATATAATTAACTTTTTCAAAACACATTAAAATGACATATCTGCATACTCATCAACCAGCAAATACCACCACTAAAATGAGGCATAAAACTGTCCTTTTAGGTTGTACACCTTACAAAATCTTTCCTTGTTCTATTCCTGATACTATACAATGGAACACTTTTTTTGTACGCCTAAATACATACATGTAGAGTATGTACTCATTTTTAACTCCTCCTATTCTACGTCCATCCACATTGCAAGAAACATTAACAAAAGTCTTTTCTCTTACAGCTCTCACTGAAACGTTTTTATTGGCAGCCTCTGTTTTATCCATTCTCATTTTAAGCAGCAGAGCAGTAATTTTTATCCTCAGCTCAAGGGATAACCAAGCGAACATAGATTTGATCATGTTTTCATTGAAGTGCATGCCAAAAGCCTAACAAGTATTTCAGTGGGAACCGGACTGTGCCCTGCAATGCAATTTCAGCTAGACTCATAAGCTCTGATTCAGCAAGCCACATATCCCAAATTGCTCTGCTGAGTCAAGGCCGCAGTGCACAGTGTGTTACACAGACTTTCTTTAGGGCAGTTCAGGGCCTGAGGCAGCAGACTAGAGAGATAGTTGACTTCCCTTGGAGCATGAATGGACTCTAAATGCCAGCAAATATTCCCTGACGTGGTGGTCCTCTAAACACTTGCACATATGCTTAACTCTATTTTTCTGAGGGCCTCCACTGAACGCTCGTGGTAGAACGTGAAGTGTGTGCATAAGAGTTTGCAGCATTCAGACCCATTGCTCTGTAAGGCTGAACATCACCTCTAGTGTATGCTACCTATTTGGTTTTCTGTCGCATACAGTTTAGAGTCTGAGTGAGTAACATTCATAGTGACAGGATACCCTGCATGCACTGCTAATACAGGAGAAAAAACCAGCAGGCTTTATAGAATCACAGAATAACCTAGGCTGGGAGGCAAGGCTGGAGGTCTGTATTCCAACTCCCTACTCAAAGCAGGACCATTTTCAAAGACAGATAGGTTGACCTGGGCTTTCTCCAATCAACTCTTGAATACTTCCGGACATGAAGACTCCCCAGGCTCTCTGGAAAACCTTGTCAGGGCCCTTAGTGCACAAATAGACCTTAATGGTCTAACCCACTTCACCTGGGGCCCATACAAATACCCCCTGCACAGTTTCCCCCTTTCAACCCATCCCAGGGCCATCAGTCCCTCCCCCAGCAATGCTGTAAGATGCTGATCTCCAGCTCCACCACTGCCTTCCCCTTTCCACGGCCACGGACCCACTCGATCTGGACTCTGACCTGCAGACTGACTCCCCAGCTTGACCTTGGACCTGCCTCATCACCATGGACCTACCCATTGATCACTGTCTCTGTCTGACTCTCGCTGGACCTGATTCTTACCCTGGACTATGAGGCAGAGGGCTTTGGACCAACCCAAAATGCTCAGAGCTGAGCATTTCGGTTAAATGCCTTTCACCTCATTAGGCATTTAGGACATTCCTCAAGACACAGGAGGGCCCTAAGACTGCAAGTACTAAGCGCACACATTCAGTGACAGTTGTGTGAGAAGCACCACCAATCTCAGTGCTCCCGCTCACAGTGAGTAACTGAAGCCCCTAAAGACACTGTGCTAGGATAAGGGTGTAAGCTAACCACACGTACACATATAACCTTGCCTTCCTCCTCCATGCATGCTCTCAGCCTAGTGAATACACCCATAAAGAATGTATTCTGCTTATGCGTGGAATTTTCTGAGGGTCAAAACTCGGTCAAATCAAAATCAGATTCCACTGAAGCACTCAAAGGCATTTTTCAGCTAGACGTTTTTATGCTAAATATAAACTTTTTAACCCCCTGCTGGTTTGGCTGTTGTGCTGTTCAGAAAGCAATAGCAAACAGTCTTGCTGAAGTGGGGATAGTTTCTACGTGTTCTTTTTGTGAAAAAACAAAATAAAATAAAAATGGCTGAACTACTTAGTGGGGAAAAAAAATCTCCCCCCCCCAAAAAAAGAGAAACCTACTTCACCTTTGAGGAAGAGACCAAACCTGGGAAATTTCAGCTTTAGCTGGTAAACTTCAGTGACTTATAAGCAATGGAAAAAAGGGGTAAAGACAGACCTTGCTTAGCAGCCTGAATGTTAGCATTACAGCCCGATGGTTCCACTTACCAGCCTGTACTTCTCCTGGGTTTACTCCCACCTTGAACCTGTTTTGAGGGTTTTGTGAGGAGGCCTATTCTCTGTTGTCCAGTAGCAGCAATGGATGAAGCTCTCATATGAGTGACAAAACATGCTGCTAAAGATTGATACTGATGCTGCAGCGAAATATAAGCTAAAATCTTAACAATCCTGGTGGGTTTTTTTCCCTCTGATTTACACAGTTGATTTGCATTGGTGGAGCACAATTTTTGTTAATGAGTCAAGGCTCAGTAGCTATTGTAATGATAGTAACAAAAAAACCCCCAACAGTAAGAAAAGTAAGTAGGGCAAGGATAGATGCCACGGCATAGAAGATATCTGGGAAAAATTGTTATGAAGTATATTATGGGGATCCACCTACTTTCCACTGGCCAGTGAGCGATCAACCTCCCTGGCTGTGGGATGAAGGAAGGGAATGGAGCTATTGCACATTCTGTTTCTTAGACGAGCAAATTTTTCTAACCACTTGTAATAATTAGAAGTCCCATGCAGAGACTGAGGTGTGAATCCCAATGTCCTGGCCCAAATCCAACTAGGTTAATTTAGTATCCCGGCATCACCCCTGCAGTTTCAACTGTAATCAGTGTTCTTTACTTGCTGTCCTAAAGTATCATATACCACCATCTTTCACAGTTTTTACAGCTACTTTTGCATGATAAACGAAGCAATTTTCTGCTAGTCATGCAATCAGGTAGGGAAGGTTTGTAACGTCTTTGAATTCTCTTTGATTGAAAGTTGTAATATTAATGTAAATCACTTGCAATCAGATAAAAAAGGAAGGCTACAAATTCAGCTCTTCTGTTCTTCCTAGACGTTCCTACATGACTTTTATGACCCATAGCAACAAGCTTAGTCATTATTACAAAGAGATTTCATCTGCTGTAGAAAACATCTCCCATGTTTCAGGTATCTCCTGCTACTTTTGCACTGCTGACTTGTATATGCCTGCTGCAGACAGAAACCAGTTTTGTTAACAAAGATGGTGACTACAGACAATCTGACCTGGGGCTTATGTGAAATACTACAGATACTCTAGCATTTCAAAACAGGGTTATCGGGGTTCTGGGCTGAATCCTAGTGTTTGTTTCAAGAAAGCA